TTTCAGAAAGGAGGTTAAGTGAAAACTCTGAGTATGTTAACCCTGGTTAACTCTGGGTTTTCCGTTTCCGTTTTAATGTTCCACAAAAAATACATTATACAAAGTATTTTTGATTTTGTTCTTTGTTTTGAACTTGATTTTGTTCTGATTTGAAATAGGCCTTGTTCATGAAAATTGCCCATTGAAGTTTTTATGAAATTGTATTTCCCTGCAACATTTATCATTGGGTTGTTGAATAGCCCAGTTCTGTAAGGTCAACTGCAGTTTTTTTTTATTTTTCAATTTGAACTTTATTTAGTTCTGAAATAAAATAATTAAATGAAATAAGTTTTTTAAAAAGCCTTCAAAATTGTGTATTATATCTTAAAAAAAAAGTTTGAAGTCATCCATCCATCCATTCCATTATCCAAAGCTCTTTATCCTTGTTAGCGTAGCAGCAGGGAGCTGGAGCCTAAACCAGCGTCTTGAGCCACAGGCAGGGAAACACACTGGTTGGATGGCCAGTCCATCACAAGGCTCACACAAGTCATGACGTATGCAGCCTTCGAATGCGACCTCCGGAGGACGCAGCCTTCTAAATGAGACACAGCTTAAGTCTGTACTCTTCACTAGTATCTGCCAAGCATATATTAAATTTAGCAGATAACCCAAAAATTTTTATATATAGACAGAATGTCAAAGAGATACATCATATTAAGGAGACATTTTTAATCTAACCTGTTATCATTTAAATTGTTACACTGAACTCTGCTTGTCTTGATATACATTACATTAAGGAGGGGGACACAGCAAGAGGAGACGTTTATAATCTTAACCCAGGGTTCCTCAAATCTTGCCCTGGAGGGCCAATGCGCTGCAGAGTTTAGCTCCAACCCTGATCAAACTCACCTACCTGTGATTTTCTAATGATCCTGAAGACATTGATTAGCATGCTCAGGTGTGTTTGATTAGGGTTAGAGCTAAACTCTGCAGGAAAGTGGATCTTGTGGGCCTGATTTGAGAATCCCTGTCTTAACCTGTTATCATTTAAACCAGGGGTGTCAAACTCAATTCCTGGAGGGCCGGAGCCCTGCAGAGTTTAGATTCAACCCTAATTATCAAAGCAATACATCACACCTGATCCAACTAATCAACAAGTTCTTCAGGCTTATTTGAAAACTACATGGTATGTGTTTTGGAGCAGGGCTGGAACAAAAATCTGCAGGGCTCTGGCCCTCCAGGAATTGAGTTTGACACCCCTGATTTAAATTGTTATACTGACCTCTGCTGGTCTTGATGTGGCTGCACACTCATTTGCAGAGTTTTATCAGTTACAACTGTAATGGCACGAAACTGGCAGGGAGCATAGACTTACAATACATTGTAGTTTATTCTGGCCCACAACACTAGCAGACTAAAATATCTTTGATGAATGGTAGAATGCTAGTACTTAACCTATAATCCTGTGAAAGACATTGACTGATAAGCCACAACATTCAAACCACCGGCCTAATAGTGGAAATCAAAATTACAGAACAACCTACAATTTCCTAAATTTCAAGGTCACTTCTTAGTCCTATTTGAAGTTTTCTTAACAGGAGTCAAAGGGCCGTTTTTAAGCATATTTCATAAATTAATTGTATTCTGAAGCACAGTATAAAAAATTTAAATGAGATATTTGAAAAACAGAACTGAGAAGTAAAAGAAGAAGCTGATCATTCCAAATCTGAAGAATATTGCAGCTTTACAGTGATCCAAATTCATTCAAGTTCCCCCAAAAGGCTAGTTGTCCATGTAAGACAACTGCACGAGAAGACAGTAAAATGTGGAGACTCTCAATGGGGAATCAGTTCAACACTGCAGCTGGAATTGCTTGCCAGTTCAGCTCTGAACAGGGTATGGATCTGTCTTGGTACGTTTAAAATCAGACTGAAAGCACACTCTGCAGTGACCAAACCTCTCATCAGCAGAAAGAATCAAAAGGCCTTGCTCACCTTTGCTGAGGAGCATGTTGTGTGGAGAGAGGAGAACTGGTCCAAAGTTCACTTTAGTGATAAGAGCATGTTTAATGCATTTGTGTTTGATGAGAAACATTTTGTTTGGCATTAAAATGGGGAAAGACTGAAGTTGGGCCTCTTATTCAGCTATATGGCAGGGTGAATTCCTTCAGCAACATGTGGGACCTTCCCTGCAAGCATCTTCCAATCAACCTGCAGTTTTCAAGCAACACAATGCCCCTATCACACTGCAAAATGGATAAAGAAGTTTCTTGAAGCTAAGTGTCATGGCAAACTCACAAACAAGATGATCCAGTTGCAGCATTTACTGATAAATACAAAAACAAACAGAGTAAAGACACAGCTGAATGTAATGAGACTAGAATGTCAAAGCAAAGGGTGATGGGAACTGAAGTCAAGGCAAGGCAGGAGGCCAAGGCGGGGCCGACAGAGCAGGAGGCCAGGGCAGAGCGGGCAAAGCAGGAGGCCAGGGGTGGGGCCGGAGGGACAGACCAGCGAGGCTCTGACCGAACAACAATAACCCCGGCGGATGACCAGGGCAGTACCAGGAGCTTGGCAGACTGTAAAGGCGAAACTGATGACCACCTCAACGGAGCTGACAGGGCCGATGAACCTCCTAGCAACTCAGGTAGTACTGCAAAGATAAGCACGGAGATGTTAGTAACACCCTTGACGGCTGTAATACTACCTGTAATTACTACCCACAACCCAAGCACAAGCACTAATCCAGTAGGGGTTGATTCCCTAAATGCCTGGCAGCACCAGCCGCTGGCAGTGGTGGCTGGCAGTCAACTTTTTTTCTTTTTTTTCCCTCCAAGTGACAGATTCAGGAAACCATTGATTTATGGCAGATTTTGTGTTTTGCGCTCCTCCCATTCTAGCTCCAAGGAATACCACATTTTTTATTGTGTATCTGCATATGTCTCTACTCTTTACCTGATCAACATTTTATGAAATGATAGGGCCTATGTTAAACTCAGAGCTAAATATAGTGCTGCAGCCGTGACATCAAAACCCCGAAGACTAATTTTCCTGTGGGTCAGAGCCATTTGCCTATGGGTTTTTATAATGGGGTTTTCGTTTTATGAGTAAAACAAGGTCTGTGGTAAATATAAACTGACGATAATTGGACATTTTGCTCTACAAAGTGAATTACACACACCCATACTAAAAACACAAATTTTAAAGCATTTAAGTTTAGTTTTAAAAATATATATTTGTAATAAGTAACTACAAAAGAACTTTTGGAGTGTGAGTATGTGTAGTTTATGTTGTGGTCCCACTTTATATTAAGTGGCCCTATACCTGTGTACTTACATAGTAACTAGATGTGTACATAGTATGTAACCACAGTGTAAGTACACATTGGTACATAGTATCTAGAGCTGTAATATTTCTGTAACTACACACATGTAACAGCCCTCCGAATGGTTTAAGTACAAATGTGTAACTCAGATACAGTAAGCAACTTTAAAAAGATAAGTCTTTAAAAATTTCTTAAAGCAGTTCAATGTTGGAGAATTTCTAATTCCGGCTGGTAGAGCATTCCACAGTCGTGGAGCTGAGACAGAGAAAGCTCTATGACCCATCGTTTTTAATTTATATGCAGGCTGCTGAAGGATACACAACCCAGCTGAGCGCAAAGGGCGAGCGGGAGTATAAGGAGCAACTAAACTGGATATATAGGAAGGGGCAGTCCGATGAATAGCTTTATAAGTTAAGATCAGGATTTTAAAATCAATACGGGCTTGAATAGGACTTAATATAAAGTGTAAAAAAAAAAAAAGTGCTTTTAGTCCTGTTGCACATTTGTACTTTCATTATCAAAGTGTTGTTACCAATGTCCTGTTACACATTTGTGTTTACACATACCATTCAGTGGGTTGTTACATATGTGTAGTTACACAAACATTACAGCTGTAGATACTATGTACCAATGTTACACTGTGGTTACATACTATGTACACATCTATTTACTACGAAAGTACACAGGTATTAGGGTCACTTAATATAAAGTGGGACCATTTATGTTAACCACAGACCTTGTTGAAGCAGTAGTCAATACTTTTCTATATGTTTGCATTTATGTTTGCATAATTCAGTTAAAGGTATGTGCCTCTACAGTATAAATATCTTTGTTGTCATTTAGCCACACAATATTTTTAAAAAAATAACAAATTTGTTTGAGCTTACAAAGGATTTAAGTCACAAGAAAAACCAACCTTTGTACCTTTGCCTCGTCACAAGGGTCAGTGTGACTGGCCAGTTATCAGTACAGGAGTAAAAGCAAAGGCTTGTCACACATCTGGCAAGCGCAAGCAGTGCAAAGCCAAAAGCAAGGGACAGTCAACTAAAATCTCTACCATGGTGAACAGGAGGCGAAATGGATCTCGTGCTAATGGTCGTGCTGGTCGAGGAGGGGTTCAAGCACAGCAACGGCAGCAATGCAAGCGGTCACCTATTAAGGTTAGTTTGAACAACTCATAATATGCAGCATCTATTTGGCTATTTGCATGTCAATTTTATATTAGGAAATTTTAATATATGCATATCTCTTGTTGTTTAATCACCCATGAACACTTTAAAATGCACTGAAAATCTCTTGGATGAAAATAATATGAAACAAAAAGAGCAGAACATGGCTTTACATCATTGGTATTTATATTACATAACCTCTGGAGTTCGTTATCTGAGTGCATGGTACAGATTCCATGCCCGACGCCTTCCTCTACTGCATTCATGGCAATTATTATTTGTTTTATATGCAGGTGGTAGTTCATATCCACCTTTCAGATGCATTAAGCAGTGGTGTGGTGTGATTATAATATCTATATCAGTGCACCAGTGACCCTCTGAACAGCTGATGGTTCAAAGGGCAATTACAACATCATAGATTATTGGGAGTTCATGCACACACTCATTCATACACGTTTATTGAATCGCTGATTGCTTATGTTCATCATTTGTTATCACAGGGACTAGATAATTGACAAAACATTTGATTAAACATTTCAACTTTGTTCAAAGAGGTATCAAAAACTCGTTTGTACATTCTGCAATCACACTTTTATATAGTGTTTCATTAAAACATCTAAGTACTGTGGTTTTGTCAATTCAGACAGCTGCATCTGTTCTGTTCCACAAAACACCATTTATGTGGCATACATGTGCTTTACTTGACTTGTTGCCAATCATTTTCTTATGATGTATGATAACAGCCAATATTTCCAACAGGCTCTTAGAGAACCAGCCATCTTTTCTACACAATCAGGCAGCGCCTCGGACACCCCACATGACAAAGTGACTTTAGCCCAGGCTCGCCGTGGCACTCCAGGTGAGTGAAACAGACAAGTGCAACTCCAAGAATTTGGTGATTCCAAATAGCAAGTAAGTTTGTTTTGCTTTTGTGCAGCTCATCGGCCCGCACGAGTGTATGCCGATGGAATCTTTGACCTCTTCCATTCAGGTCATGCCCGGGCTCTGATGCAGGCCAAGAATTTGTTCCCGAACACACATCTGATTGTTGGCGGTGAGTCACACTGGCACACGTACACTCTTATCCAGTTTTGTAGGAAAACATACACATCACCTTCAAAAGTGTCCAAAATTTGGAAAAGCCAAAAGTTTTATTTGCATTGTGTTTGTATGGTATATGTCTGTTGACTGCTACATACAGTACATGGTGTGTATCTCTTTCAGTATGCAGTGATGCCCTGACGCACAAATATAAAGGCTACACAGTGATGACAGAGGATGAACGTTATGAAGCCCTTATACACTGTCGTTATGTGGACGAGGTGGTCCGTGATGCTCCATGGACCCTCACTCCTGAATTCCTTAAAAAACACAGGGTAAATGAATATTCAGTTCATTGTAGTATAAATAAAATAAAATTATTGATTATGTACTAATTTTAATTACATAAAATCTCATATTTAACCATGACCATTTTGTGTGCTTTTTATTTAACATTCTTTACAATTTTGACATCCAAGAAATAATGTAATTTGAACTCTTTCTATAGCATGATGAGAGGATAAGTAAATAATTGAATAACTACAATTCAACATTTGGTCACAAATATCAGCAAGCTACTGAGTGCAACCTTAATTTAGGTACTGAGTGAAACTTGTTCAGCTTGGCATCTAGCTGAACAAAAAAAAACATATTTTTAAATTTTATATTGATAAAATATTATTATTAAAATAATAAAATATTATGTTTTTTTTATTCAGTTAGATGTCAAGGCAATTTTTTGGTTGTTTAATTTGAAGAAATTAAACAAACAAAAAAAATCGCCTTGGCATCTAGCTGAACAAAAAAAAACAATATTTTAATAATAATATTTGATCAATATAATAATACAGTTACAAAAGTTGCAAATGACATAAATTATAGAAAATAAAACGACTCCTATCAAAATTAATTTGGAAGTGAAGTGACATGTGGCCAAATACTCAGAATTTGTGCTCTTTTTTTTATTCAGTTAGATGTCAAGGCAATTTTTTGGTTGTTTAATTTGAAGAAATTAAACAAACAAAAAAAATCGCCTTGGCATCTAGCTGAACAAAAAAAAACAATATTTTAATAATAATATTTGATCAATATAATAATAAAGTTACAAAAGTTGCAAATGACATAAATTATAGAAAATAAAACGACTCCTATCAAAATTAATTTGGAAGTGAAGTGACATGTGGCCAAATACTCAGAATTTGTGCTCTGCATTTAACCCATCCAAGTGCGCACACACACACCCGGAGCAGTGGGCAGCCATATTGCTTTTGCGCCCGGGTGCAGTTGGGGGTTCGGTGGCTTGCTCAAGGGTCTCACCTCAGTCGTGGCTTGGCATCTAGCTGAACAAAAAAAAACATATTTTTAAATTTTATATTGATAAAATATTATTATTAAAATAATAAAATATTATGTTTTTTTTATTCAGTTAGATGTCAAGGCAATTTTTTGGTTGTTTAATTTGAAGAAATTAAACAAACAAAAAAAATCGCCTTGGCATCTAGCTGAACAAAAAAAAACAATATTTTAATAATAATATTTGATCAATATAATAATAAAGTTACAAAAGTTGCAAATGACATAAATTATAGAAAATAAAACGACTCCTATCAAAATTAATTTGGAAGTGAAGTGACATGTGGCCAAATACTCAGAATTTGTGCTCTGCATTTAACCCATCCAAGTGCGCACACACACACCCGGAGCAGTGGGCAGCCATATTGCTTTTGCGCCCGGGTGCAGTTGGGGGTTCGGTGGCTTGCTCAAGGGTCTCACCTCAGTCGTGGTATTGAGAGTGGAAGAGAGCGCTGTACATTCACTCCCCCATTCACTCAGGTTCGACAATTCCTGCCGGACCTGAGACCCGAACCCGCAACCTTCTCGTCCAACTCTCTAACCATTAGGCCACGACTGCCCCTGAAAAAAAGGAGAGGTTTAGGCTCATGGAGAAGCTCATCCAGTAACCACAAATGACTAGAAAGATCATTGCAAAAAGTGTGGGATCCATGTGTCATTCCTGTTTATTTATTTTCCTATTGTCCTCAGATTGACTTTGTGGCACATGATGATATCCCATACACCTCTGCTGGATCAGAAGATGTCTATAAACATATCAAAGAAGCAGGTAAAGACTTTAACCGCAACCAAAGTGTACATTCATAGAACTGAGTCAAGGACTCGGTTATAAATATGAATTTCTTCTAAATTGTTTGTAAGGAATGTTTGTGGCTACTCAAAGAACGGAGGGGATTTCTACCTCTGATCTCATCACGCGTATTGTCCGAGACTATGACGTCTACGTCAGACGTAACCTGCAGAGAGGATACACAGCACGGGAACTCAATGTTGGCTTCATCAATGTAAGAAAGAAACTGTATGGCTTCAAAAAACTAGGAATACAATGAAAGCGGCATTAACTACTGTTACTTTCTAGTTGAAGCTAACCTCTGCAGGACACCGGCCCTCCAGGACCGAGTTTGGACAGCCCTGCTATAGAACAACTATTCTGGGTTCCCAAAAGTACCTTTGAATAGTTTCTAAAGTGTAAAGAACATTTTAATAATATAAATAACTTTTTTCCATTATAAAGAACCTTGTGTCTAATGGAAAGTTTGATAGGACGTTAAAGATTCTTCATGGAACCATAGATTCCAATAAAGAACCTTTATTTATAAGAGTGTATGGTACTTTGGAGCACATACCCAACTCCCATTTGGTTTTACGGTACAGAAAAGAGTTGCCAGGACATTCAAAAATATCCTTCAGTGTTCAGTGAAAGTAATGAAATCATATGGGTCTGGCACGACGTGAGGAAGAGGAAATGAAGGCACAATTTACATCTTTAGGTGAACTATTCCAGCTGTTTTGATTGACAGGAGAAGAAGTATCGCCTGCAAGAGCAGGTGGACAGAATGAAGGAGACGGTGAGGACGGTGGAGGAGAAGTCCAAACATTTAGTGCACCGTGTTGAAGAGAAGAGCCACGATCTCATCTACAAATGGGAAGAGAAATCTCGCGAGTTCATCAGAAACTTCCTGGAGTTGTTTGGTCCTGATAAAGCCTGGGTAAATGAAGGACATTAAAGCAGCACTATGTAACTTTTGGCGCTCTAGCGGTTAATAAACAGAACTGCACACATCCCGCGGAAGAACATTCCAACCGAAGCTACTTCTCTAAGTTTATGTCTATGGCAATTCACTCAGGTATGTGTTACTGCGCAGCGGTGACCAGGCTACAATAGTCCAAATATAAGTGTACCGTATTGATTCGGAATAAGACAAAAACGCGGTTTGGAAGATGAATTCATGATGTACTCGCTCATTATATACATTTTGCAAATTTTGAACACAGAAAAAGTTACATAGTGCTGGGGCATTACACATGCAGTGCTATTTTGCATGGTTTTTCTTTTTCTTTTTTGCATTTCAAATTGATGTTCTTTGTGCCCTCTAGCACATGATCCAGGAGCGGAGTGGCCGTGTTCTCCAGGCTCTGTCTCCCTATCAGTCACCAAGTACGTCGCCCAGCTCCAGTCCCACCAGAGGTCGCTCTACATCACCTGTCTCCCAATGGCCCCTGCTCCGCTTCCGTTCACCGCCACCTAAAGGAGCCTCTGTCAGCAGCAGTGAGGGTGATGAGGGGGAAAACTAGGCGGAGACTGGCTTCTCTTTCCAACTGCACATTTGCACAGGCACCTTCTCATTTTGTTTTCTGTATTTTATGCACCAAAATGCTTGTTCTACAAATGCAAGGTGCGCAAAGATCCAGGCTGGCTTCATAATTCTGTAGAAGAAAAATGTAAAAAGCATTGACTTTTATTATAGAACTGAACACTTCATAACTTGTCTTTCAAGTTAAAGGGCTGTTCACACACACACACACATATATATATATATATATATATATATATATATATATATATATATATATATAACTATAATGATAACTATGTAAAGCTTCCACACCAACACACAATAACATGTTTACTATATGCACACACGCTATGCCACTTTAAATTCTCAAGCTTGATTCTGATTGGCTGCCAGTGTTTTATTGTTCATTGGCTGGGGAAAAAAAAGTCATTTTGAAAGTGATTTTAACAATATTGTTTTTCTGTGTTGTTATTGTTATATCTGTGATGTGGACTACCCTATTCTCATATGATTAGAACGATTACTAAAACTTCGTAGTTATCGTTTTCGTCCTTGGTATGAACAAATACATAAAAACATATTTGTGAGTATTTTATAAAACACTGTTTTTCTGAATTAAATGAAGGGTGTACCACTGACCAAATGTATGAGTGTTTTAATAAACTGATCAGGTTAAATACAACATGAGCTAAGAAGCATATTGCGAAATATGGCATAAAACAATCAAGGAACACATAAAATACTAATTACATATTTAATATTATGCTAATATTTTTTGTTGACCATTTCCAGACTGATCGATGGATACTGACAATGACATGTACAGTAAAAATACAGAAATATTTTTAAACTAGAACAAAAAGACTATTATAAATTGAGAGGTGTGCATAAAACATTGTTCTAAATACACACATGCAACACACTGTTATCGACCCAGTCATGAGTCATACATCACTCCATTGTGCTTAAAATGGATCCAAAGCTCACCTTAAAGTGCTACCAGTGATTGGGTATTATGTTTCTATCCTCTAAATTCTATCCTCAGTAGAATTTAGCAATGCACTGAAATGAAAATATTTGAAATGCATTCTGAAATTCACAATACACTGGGCAAAAACTGAAACTAAACAATTTAATCAACTAATTATTGATTCAATTATTTGCCAGTATCATCGCATAAATAGTAAAAAAATATATTTGATAGTAAATTTAATTTCATAATTTATACTACAAAAGTTTGGGTTGGTACATTTTTTTAATGTTTTTGAAATATTTCTCTTATGCTCACCAAGACTGCATTTTAAAAAAATCAAAAATACAGTAAAAACAGTAATATTGTGAAATACAATTTAAAATAACTGTTTTCTATTTTTTTATATTATTTATTCCTGTGATGGCAAAGCTGAATTTTCAGCAACCATTACTCCAGTTTTTTTGTATCACATTTATGTAAATATTATTTATGTAATGCATTTATTCAAAATATTTTGTAAGTCTTACAAAATAAGTCTTTCCTGACTATTTTGATCTATTTGTTGTATCTTTGCTGAATAAAAGTATTAAAATCTTACTGACCCCAAACTTTTGAATAGTATGTATAATTTATTTGTATAATTTTTGGGATTAAATTTAGCATACAGAAGCCCCATGGTACATCATACTAATAAACTGCTACATTTACATTTATTAATTTGGCAGACGCTTTTATCCAAAGCTACTTACAGTTGGCAATAAACATGAGAAGTTGTGGCCTAATGGTTAGAGAGTCGGTCTCGTAATCCAAAAGTTGCGGGTTCGAGTCTTGTACCGGCAGGGATTGTAGGTGGGGGGAGTGAATGTACAGCACTCTCTCCCACCTTCAATACCACGATTGAGGTGCCCTTGAGCAAGGCACCGAACCCCCAACTGTTCCCTGGGCGCCGCAGCATAAATGGCTGCCCACTGCTCCTGGTGTGTGTTCACGGTGTGTGTGTGTGTGTTCACTGCTGTGTGTGTGCACTTTGGATGGGTTAAATGCAGAGCACTAATTCCAAGTATGGGTCACCATACTTGGCCACATGTCACGTCACTTTCACTTTCGAGAAGTGCCCGTTATACAAGGTTTTCAGTTCAAAATAGTAAAAAGCTAGGACAGAAGGATGATAATAAAAGAACAGAAAAAGTGAATGCATAGAATTTTAATTTGTATTATTAATGGAGGTACTCACAGAAGAGATGAGTTTTCAGTTGTTTCTTGCAATATTCTCCACATAACATCCTCCACACTCTCACTATTGTAAAGCTATTATTTTCAGACCTTTAGAAATGGCAGTAAGCAAGTCCTATAAAGGCCAAATATCAAGTTTCCTTATGTGGCAGTGTTCTGTTTAAGCTTAGCTGCTGTAATTCCATCACTATTACTGTAGCAGATACAATAAAGTCATCTGTTGGCGTTATACGTGGATGCATCTCGTGGGTCACTGCTCGGGTTACTCCAGTCATCAGCCTCAGGACCTGTCTGGTAATGTCGCCACGCTGACTTATTGAAGACTGGAAGACGCTCAAAAGACTCACTAGAAAGAGCCTGGAGAGAGTGGGAAGAAAACCATTTCTAGTTTCTAGTTGAAGCTAATGTTATTACTCACAAATAGAAATGTCAATGCAAATACCTTAAGATGAATTACTGCATCTGTCCCGAACCCTTCAATTGAGTACAGGTTCAAGTCTCCCTGAAAGTAGCGTGCATAAAGTCTAGAGATTGGCAGTCCATAGCCAAAACCAGCCTGCAGAGATGATATAAACAGGTTGCATGAAACCACACATACAAATACAGACTTATGCTGTCTGATGATTAGTTACCAGTGGGACAGTAGTTTGTGAGGGATCCAGACGTGGTGTTGGAGCAGTGGAATACATGTAATTGAAAAGACGATCAATCTTTCTTAAGGGGACACCTCCACCTTTGTCACTAATCTAAGAAGACACATTAACATCAAATTAATAAAGTGCAGAAGTCGCCATAAATATTCATGTTTTTGTGAAACAGTCTTGTGTGGAACCTTTACTGAGAGATCCTCTTTTCCCAGAGTAACCATTGCTTTCACTGGAGGAAGCCCCTCACTGCTGTTTTCATAGAGCTCCACTGTTGCCCGCATGGAATTCTGCAAATGTACACATAATACAGTAACTTACCTAAAAGATCTATAGAAAGTAAAAAGAATAAAATAGCTGACAAAAGTCCACCTAAAACGTGATCATTTGAGAAACACTTCATTGCATTCCACTTTAAAGATCACCTAAAAATATGAACAAAGTTTTGGTGACACTTTATAATTAGGTTTCATTCGTTACCTTTAGATACAATGAACTACCAATGAAAAATACCTTTATAGCATTGATTTAGTAATCTAAGTTAATGGTAATTTCTACATATACTAATATTTGTATTTAAAATAAATTAACATAAGTTATTATGTTATGCATTATGAATGATTATCAATGTTATTGACTATAACAGTTTTTTACTAATATTTTGAATTAGTTTTTATTTTTATATTTTATTTTCATTTTAATTAAAGTTTTAGTAATTTTTGTGTTTATGTGATTTTCATTCGTTTATATATATATATATATATATATATACAGTGGGTACGGAAAGTATTCAGACCCCCTTAAATTTTTCACTCTTTGTTATATTGCAGCCATTTGCTAAAATCATTTAAGTTTTTTTTTCCTCATTAATGTACACACAGCACCCCATATTGACAGAAAAACACAGAATTGTTGACATTTTTGCAGATTTATTAAAAAAGAAAAACTGAAATATCACATGGTCCTAAGTATTCAGACCCTTTGCTGTGACACTCATATATTTAACTCCGGTGCTGTCCATTTCTTCTGATCAATATATATATATATAGTGCTTTGCAAAATTAAATTTTTTCACATTTTCTGTTGCTGCCTTATGTTAAACTGCTTTAAATTAGTTTTTTTCCACATCAATCTACACTCCATACACTATACTGGTAAAGCAAAAACAGAATGGTGTGGAAAAAAAAAGTGACGTGACATGTGGCCTAGTATGGTTACCCATACTAGGAATTAGTGCTCTGCATTTAACCCATCCTTAGTGCACACACACAGCAGTGAACACACACCCGGAGCAGTGGGCAGCCATTTATGCTGCGGTGCCCAGGGAGCAGTTGGGGGCCTTGCTCAAGGGCACCTCAGTCGTGGTATTGAAGGTGGAAGAGAGCACTGTACATTCACTCCCCCCACCTACAATCCCTGCTGGTATGAGACTCGAACCCACAACCTTTGGGTTACGAGTCCGACTCGCTAACCATTAGGCCACGACTTGCCCTATAGTTGTAACTTCGTAAATTTATTAAAAATAAAAAACTGAAATAAGTACATTGCATAAGTATACTAAATATTTAGCTGAAGAACCTTTACAGTCTCAAGTCTTTTTTTGTATGATGCGACAAGCTTTGTTCGGTTACGAGTCCGACTCGCTAACCATTAGGCCACGACTTCCCCTATAGTTGTAACTTCGTAAATTTATTAAAAATAAAAAACTGAAATAAGTACATTGCATAAGTATACTAAATATTTAGCTGAAGAACCTTTACAGTCTCAAGTCTTTTTTTGTATGATGCGACAAGCTTTGTTCATCAGCATTTGGCAATTATCTGTCATTCTTCTCCTCGCCTCTTCACCTCTCAAGCTCTGTCAGATTGGATGGGGGCAGATACACATTTTCAGGTTTCTACGGAAATATTTGATTGGTTTCAATCCCAGGCTGTGGCTGGGCCACTCAAGGACATTGACATAGTCGTCTATAATTGACTGTGTGCTCTGAATGCTCTGGACTGGGTTTTCATTAAGGCTATCTCTATATTTTGCTGCACTGAGCGTTCCTTCTACTCTGACGAGTCCCTCAGTCCCTGCCACTGAAAAACAGTCCCACAGCATGAGGCTGCTACCAGCACACTTTACTTTTGGGATGGTACTCTGCAGGGGATGAGCAAAGCTGGTTTCCTTCAAACATGATGCTTAGAATTGAGGTTCATCAGACCAGAGAATCTTGTTTCTCAGACTCTGAGGGTCCTTTAGGTGCTTTTTTGTAAATACCAAGTGTGTTTTTATGTGTCTTAACTGAAGAGAGGATTGAGTCTTGCTACACCGCCATAAAGCCCAGATTTGTGGAGTGTTGCAGTGATGTTTGTCCTTCTGTAGATTTCTC